TTCCATTTTTGTTGTCATTATGCTTTAGGATTATAAGAGGAGTGAAAGATTAAAGTTTATATTCAAGAGACGTAAGAGCTAAGCACGAGTGATGCCCAAACATCCAAAGAAACTAAGGAAGAATGGATCAAATATGGCTTAGAATAATGGGACTTACGACTAACATGTAATTGCTATTACGTCTATAATGGTCCAAGACTTCAGGAGCAAAAATAGGAAGATTCCTAGCCAAAACAAGGAGAATTACAGTTAGCTTGTAATGGCCATTACGAATGTAACTCTCCCAAGTCCTTTAAGTGTCAGAAAATCCAATTTTGGCGCAAACCTAGGGCGAATTACGACTTGCTTGTAATGGAAATGGCTTTCTCGTAATGGAAATTACAATCGAAATGACTCCAAGGCCCTTTTGAATTCTGAAGTTTTGTTGTTTCATTTTTAGACTTTTTTTCTTTCAAACCATTATGTATTGATTAGCTAAGGCTTTATTACGATGTATCACACATTAATGTTGGAACAAAGGGTTTTCAAGAAAGATGATTTATGAAGAAGAAGAAGAAGAAGAGAGGAGAGAGAGAGAGAGAGAGAGAGAGAGAGAGAGAGAGAGAGAGAGAGAGAGAGAGAGAGAGGAGAGAGAGAGAGAGAGAGAGAGAGAGAAGGTTTGTTGTTATTCTAACTGAATATTGATTGCATTGATTGTTTGTAAAATTACAAACTAACAAGCCCTTTATATATGCATATAATACTCAGGCCCAATTCGACAATACATGCTATAGCCCAAAAACATGCCTGAGAGAATCAACACCTCACACGAGGGACTCATCGCCCCCATCAAACAGGCTCATAATCTCCTATGAGGAACTTATCACCCCCAAAATTCAACTAAACTACTCGTCTGAGGGACTCATAATCTCCTTAGACGAGTTTTAGCTTAAGGTCTTGCCTAAGGGACTTGACCAAAGTATGACTCAAGATAATTAACTTAAAATTATATCCTGAGGGTTTCAACTGAAGTTTTTACCAAGAAACTCAAAGCCTCGCCTGAAAGACCCGTGATTAATTAAATTACTTTGTCCTTTATCAAGCCCTCATGCTTTAGGAACTTTGGAGTGATATATTTATAAATACCTGTCAATGGCGAGGATATCATGGCCTCCCTTAAGGGGCAAAACCCTTTTACCTCTTGTGGTCAAGGGTAACCTTGCCTTTAAGACCCCATTTTCCCCTCCATGGGAAACCATGGGAAAAGACATGTCTCAATTAATGAGAATTCAGAGTCAACATACTAAAGTGCGTCTCCCTAGGAAGTATGGATCCAATAGAGCACTACTATGACTAAGTGGGCGATTATTATTCCCGATAAAACCCTAACTTCGGGCCCAAGAGCTCCTATAAAAACCTCATCCCTAGCATGAGGAAATGAGATCTCAGAATTTACCCCAAATATCTAAAGATACAAAGATTTTCACCTCATGTGAATAACTCTTTCAACTTCTCTAATGTTCATGTAGAATTTTCCTTCCTTTCATGTTCCAAGTAAGCAAGCCCAATAAAGAATGTCAAATTGGTTGACGTAAGACCAACAATCTCAAGTAGCGGTAGCTTATACCTATCAATTTTATATGTGCATTCAAAGATTAAAACCAGTTGAAACATATTTAAAAGGTTCATTGAATTATGATATGTCCAGAATATATCATCCACAACATCTAAGTTTTTCTTGTTTCTGGTCTAAGCAAATACTTCTCATTATGAATTAGGCTCATCAAATGTTGCATTTCTGTTAATGAACCTCTAATAGTAGACCATTATGTAGATATTTCTTATTATAATTAGCACCTCACTTGTCAAATTCTCAACTCTCATATCTTTCATTGAACCCATAATGTACCTCGACGCCATGTTGTACTTTGTTATGTCGTTCACAAACTATCTTTCCTCACATTTTAAATGACCTAGTATGTTATGACCGTTCGGATCCTCAATAGACGGTGGTTGTGAATATCACATCCAACCCTTTATGTTGCAACCACAATCATTGGAACAGATCTCAACCAAAAGGGGGCACTCAACTCTTCTACTACAAGTAACTTTCAAATTTTCCTTGTTCTTGTAATTTCCTCTCTTCTCACAACCAAAAAACTGTTTGTCGCTCATGCCTCTTAGCCCAGATGTTGTATTCCAACAAACGGTAACCACAATAATATCGTGTTGTCTCCTAATATATTATACTCGTGATAACACTTTTGTTCAAGAGAGAAATATCTACTAATTAAAATCTAAAATAAATTACTCATAGATTCTCTAATTTGCTTAAAAATTTCAAAAGTTTAGATAAAACATATAAATAAAACATACTAAGTCATTTGTAAAGAATCATGTAAAATCTTCTCGAGCACCATCTATTTCAAAGTCATTCATAGTGAGCAGGTTTAACAAGACCATCAAATTTTAAGAGAAAGACAAAACATTATTTACACCAAATTTTTTCAAAATATACTTTGGTGAAAAAAAATCACATTATATTTTCTAATATACCGATAATGCATACTAGATTTTAGAAATTACAATAAAAATGCAATATAAAACATAGCTTTTTCCTTTTTTAGCGAATATTTATTTATAATTATTTGATTTTTTAGAAGTAATTTTTTTTTTTTTAAATTATAAAAATTTGAAAATATAAATTATAAGAGAGATATTATTGACATTTTAAAATAATAAAAATGTGGTCGGGTATCATTTTAGGAGAGTCAGACAACAAAGAGATAATGCACAAAGTCAACTAGAATTCAACCGTCAAGTATGCCGAGTGATAGCCAATCGTTCACCAAATCTTCAAGAGATCTTTACTTGTCACAATTTCCTACCTTCTTTATCCATACATCGATGATATTATTGATGTTGAAAATGATGGAAATTGTAGTTTCCGTTGTATTACATCTTTATTAGGATGTGACGAAGAGTTATGGTCTTTGATTTGGACACAGTTAGATTCTCAAGTTCATTAACACTCACTGTTATTTTTCAAGTTGTTCTATAACATTGTCTCTAGAATTAGGAATGTGTTACGAGTAAAACACTTGAGTGTGCAAGATAGAGACAAATGGATGGCGATTCCTGATATGGGTTATCCTATTGTTTTTAGATACAATGTCGTATTTCTTTCCCTTTCCATGAGACTTAACATCATACTTTTCCCTTATCATAGCTCCACCCATGTATATGAGTATGCACACAATCATTGTTGTTAGTTTGTCAACGACAATCATTGGATTCCAGGTAAAGTTGAAACCTGATTGTCCATTGTCTCCTGTCACTGACCGTTGGAGATAGAATTGCATAGATGATGTAAAAGCATGGGAATCATCGTATATGGTTCAGGATGGCAACATGTCAGGTCGGGTGCATGTTTCACACTACCCAAACCACACTCAAAATCGCCATCCGAACCTGAACCGAAACCCAAACTCAAAGGCTATTCGGGTGGCAAAATAACACCCACATCTATACCCGTTAGGTTTGGGTTTTTTCATCCAAACACGAACCAGCAGCAAAAACACAAAAAATAAAATAACAACATTAAAATTTGAAACACAAGAATTTCATCAAGGTCTCTCAAAGAAATTAAGGA